CCCCTCCCCTCCCTTTCCCTCACCAGACGACACCCTGCTGGGCAATGAAAGCAGCGGTAACGAGCTGATGGTGACCTTCAAGGGATTCGACTTCCTGGACAATGAGCTGGAGGAGTCGGAGGTTTGTCCCCTGTGTGCCATTTCGCTACCTTAGAATTACAAGGTTCTATCTGACATTTTTGGCCGTTTTGAGTTACTTGGACCATGAAGTCAGAAATCAAATGTTTTACCTGTTCTGTCAAAATCGTAAGACTATTCGGCGTCATTATCAAGATATTTTAAGAATTACTTTCGAAAAAGCGTAACCATGTTGTGAAACTAAAAATTTTAAACTTCAAATTTCTCAAGACAAAGTACTGAGCAGATGTAACTTTATAATTCTAGGGTAGCGATTTGTCTGGCCTCTGTTGAGAAAAACGCATGTTTGTGCTTTCTATATCTTCAGCCAGCTGTTCAGATGTACTAAGCCTTGAATTTTGAAAGAAAAAAAAAAATATTCCAGTTTCTTATACAGTGATATTGTGCTCTAGTGTGGTGTGCTCCTTCTTTCCTATCAAACATCTTTTTTGTATGTTACATTCTTGTAGTAACACCTTTAATCTTTGACAGTCATACGTCCTGTTTTTGTTGCAAATACTGTAAAACTCTTACTAAAACAAATTGAAAGTGTTGGTTGCATGTGCTCTCAAAATATTTAGTTAAAATCTTAACAGACTTGGATGAGAAACAGACCTGCCAAATATACTGTAAAAATTGGGTTTATTAAAGTATATTGGCTTTTGTTCAACAAGGGCTTGGCAGGTGAAAGATACAAAATCTGCTGTGAAAATTTAGAAATTGTATTAATTTGTGGGTGTTTTTTGAGACCATGTTGACCAGGGTTAGCAGTAACAGTTTGTGTTTATCTATCTTGCTTTTTTCTTAGCATTAAATGGCCATTATCATGTCGGTGTGTTTCTCTGTTCTTAAACAAACGCACTCTTCATATGACCTTTTCTTCTGTCTTCAGTCTGAGGATTTCTTCTTCCAACTGGGCGACCGCCGTCACTCCCTCCATTTGGAGCATTCTCCAACCTCCTCTGGACGTCCAAACTTTGGCAGCGAACCAAACCTGCAGATGATGTCCACTCTGCCAAAGGTTGTAGGGTCACCACGGGACAGCGTCACGGAGCAGCCCTCAACAGATGAGGAGGTGAGAGTGTGGGTCTTTGTGTGTGTGTGTGTGTGTGTGTGTGTGTGTATGTGTGTGTATGTTTGTGTATGTGTGTGTGTGTGTGTGTCTGTGTTAATGGGTATGTGT